TGGAAACCACCATCTTTCATCTCTTCAAATTAGATTTCCTTTTGTGTCCTTCGTCAGGAGAAAAATTTTCTCCCTACAATTCAAAAAAAAAAAAAAAAATCATGAAATAGCCCCCGAATCACCCTGTGTTAGTGCGTACTCTGTTCTTCATGTAACGGTAACATAAATATACCTGCATGTACGCCTACATCCTCAGAAATAATGGGAGGATAAATCAAAAACTCATTTTAAGGAATAAAGTACAGTGACATATGCCTATAATCCCAGCTCCTGGGAGGTAGAAGCAGAGGGATCTGTTCAAGGTCATCCTCAGCTACATAATGAAGGCCAGCCTGAGCTACAAAAGAGCCTGTTTCATAAAAACGAAGAGGGAGGGAGGTGATCCAGCTCAGCCTTTGCTATTCTGAGTGTGGAACTTCATCCAAGACCTTCAGCTTTGGGTGATCCAAGAACTTGTACAAAATGCAGCATCTCAGAGCCGACCCCACTACTGTACAGAATCTGCATCTTCAAAGCATCCCGAGGCAGTAACTTTGCATGCCAAACTCAAGGCCCTGGTCTGCACCCAAGTGAGTATCAGTCACCTAGAGCAGCTGGCACATGCAGGCTGTTGGGTCTAACTTGGTTAAATCAGACTACCTGAAGGCCAGGAGAAGGGGAACAAGTAAGTACTCCACCAGGTATGGTGTGTGAGTATCATCCCGGCGATCAGGATGCTGAGGCAGGCCGACTGCCACGGGTCTGAGGTCAGCTTGAGACTGTCTCAGAACAAACAAGCATAAAAGAATGGCTACCTTAGAGCAGTCAAGAAACAGCCAGAGGATTAAAAGTTAGACCTCACTCAACAGACCTGGTTTTTAAGTTATGCCTAAAAGAAAGCAAGTCTGAAGATGTGGAAACGAATCTTTGGAAATGAAGTCACTGGAACCTTCCCTAGCTCACTATTACCCACACCGCACTGTCCTCAGGAGGACCTTACAGAGCTGCCCAGAGCCCCTCCTCCCTCCGCCCACAGGGTACCTAATCCTGTAGGTCTGGGGTAACCTGATGCTCGGCCGATTCTAACCTTTCCTCAGTGGTGATGATTTTATTCTTGGGGCACCAATTTAAAAACCACCGCTTTAAGAGACAACAGGTAATGTAAAGCCCTCCTTTGTGGTCATGTTAGCAATGCTGCTGTTTATATACAGTTGGGTAAATTAAGGCATGTTCATGTCAAGAGCCTAGGTGTTCAGAAAACTGAAAAATGAGGCAGGAGCACTGTTATTCAGAGGGGTGTGCTTCACGTCTTAAAAAACGTTATTGTCCTGTTCCCTGCATCCAGAAGGCTCAGGAACCAGGCACCCAGGAGGAAGGAGCCCCCGTTCTCCAGTCAGTTCTAATTTCTGTTTCCTATAAAGACCCATGGTGGGCTGGAGAGATGGCAATGGCGCAGCCTCTGCTGCTCTGCACTTTCCTGGCTCTGGAGGCACTTGCACATAATGTAGAATACGCGCACACATAAAAATCTTTAAGAACCCAGACTTACTGGAGAAATGATGTTTTTTCTGGTCACAACAACAGTGGAGAAGCCACAACAAACCCTGGGTCAACTGGACAATCCTCCCACTGGCCAGAAGAGACTGTAATCCACGCGCTCTAACCTTATGTGCTCATTCCTGGGTCACCTCTGGCGGAGGGCAGGGGCTCACACTCAGAACTAAGTTAAGTGGGGGGCAGGGTCAGGAATTCAGCATCTTTTTTGTTCAGATTATATTTCAAGTTTAGGGATTCTTTTCATGTGTTTATTTTAGACACAGGGTCTCCTTGTGTAACCCAAGGGGCCTGAAATTCAGTCTTCTGCCCTCTGTCTCCCAAGTGCTGGGATTACAGGTGTGAGTCAACAAGCCCCACTCAGAAGGTCTTCATAGAATTTTAACAGATGCAAAAAGAACAATGCGATATCTTACCTTTTATTGCTTTTGTTTCATGCAACTGTGTATGTATGTAGAAGTCAGAAGACAACTTCTAGGAGTTCTCTCCTTCCATAGTATCGCTTCAATCCAGGTCGAGAAGAATTGGTAGGAACCACCTTTCCCCACCGAGCCACCTCAAAGCCCCATGGATCCTTTTCAAACATCACGTTTCCCACATTCCCAGTCTTCACTGGAGGCCATTCAAACCCTAAGGAGAAAGTGGGGCAGCTTTGCAATGGCAGTGTTCTGACATGCCCTAACCTGCTGCTCCAGCCTAGAATCCTCACAGGCTGGAAACGGGCAACAGACAAAGGACATTACTTTGTTCCTGAAAAACTGAACTCAAACCACCTCAAGATGTAACTGTCAGTTGCAGGACACCGGCCAAAGGCACCAGGGAAACAAAACTGCAGACAAAACCAAAACCAAAATATGGGAACTCTCCTATATACCACACCAGCCCAGTGCATCAGTAACCAACGTACAGGGAAAGGGCTGGACTAAATAAGAGGCTCGGGGAAACAGACCAGCTGACTCAACGTAGCCCATGGCTATTTGGCTCACCCACAAGCCACGCTTTGGACATTTTTTAGGAATAGGAAGCTACAAAACACAGGGACTGCCGATGTTCCTGAAGCTAGGTGAAATCCGAAGCAGCCCTTATCTGCTGGAGATAAATGCTCAAGTAGTTAAGGGATAAAACTGAACCATGTCTGAGATTAGCTTTACAATAACCCAGGGGAAATCACGAGTATAATCCCAGCACCTAGGAACAGCGGCAGGACAAGCCCAAAGGACCACACAGGTAGTCAGAGGCCAGCCTCCACTACATACTGAGATGCTGTATAATATATAAATAAACCCAGGAAGGGGGCTGGAGAGCAGCTAAAACGGCAGACAGAAGCGTGAGGCTCTATTGCTGCCTGTGTTTAAGGTCGCATTTATAGGGGCTAGAAAGATGACTCAGTGGTTAAGAGCATTGGCTGCTCCTGCAAAGAAACCAGGTTTGGTTCCCAGCACCTGCATAGTGGTTAACCCTTAGGAACTCCAGCTCCAAAGGATCCAATGACTTCTTCTGACCCCTGGGGCATTGCATGCAAAACACTCATACACATAAAAATAAAAATAAAAAAATTTACATTCTACTTATAGAAAGCTAAAAATAGAGCCAGTTGTGATGGCTCAGTGAATAAAAGGTACTTGCTATTGGGGTTGGAGATGGCTCAGCAGGTGGGAACACTGGCTGCTCTTGCAGAGGACCCAGGTTGGATTCCCAGCACGCATACAGCATCCATGAACCTTAACTCCAGTTCCAGGGGATCCTCTCTGACCTCCACTGCATTGCATGACACGTGTGCACTCACATATATGCAGGCAGTACACTCATACACATAAAATAAAAATAAATGAATAAAAAGTACTTGCTGTCAAGTCTGAGAACCTGGGTTCAATCCCTTGGGTGCCACAGAGTGGAAGGAGAGAACTAACTTTCAAATTGTCTTCTGGACTCCGTGTGTGTGTGTGTATAAACACCCCACAAATAAATGTAATAAAATTCTTTTTAAAGGGAAGGAATCAAGGCTGGAGAGATGGCACAATGGTTAAGGTTAAGAGCACTGGCTGCTCTTACAGAGGACCTGGGTTCAGTTCCCAGCACCCACATGGTAGTTAACAACCATCCTGAAGTCTAGTTCCAGAGGATCCAACACCTTCCCTCTGACCTCCAACAGGCATTGCATGAGACGGGTGCACTTACATACATATAAGCAAGACACTCATACACATAAAATAATAAAAAGAAAAAAGGAGGAATCCAGATGTGCACCTTTTAATCCCAGTACTCAGGAGGCAGAGGCAGGACTATCTCAGTGAGGCCCAGACCACCCTAGCTGAGTTCTAGGCAAGCTGGGGCTACAGGCTACAGGGAGCCCCTGTCTCAAAGAACCGAAAAAAAAAAAAAAGTTAAAAAGCAGGGCCCAGGGCTGGTGAGATGGCTCAGTGGGTAAAGGGAAGGAGAGAATCCCCTTCCATAAGTTGTCCCTGACCTCCACACATGTGCCATGGTATGAACAAACGCACATACACAGATAAATGAATAAAAAAGAAGGAAAAAGAAAAGCAGGAACCAGGAACACAATGAAGACCAAAAGGCCAGGGCTGTAAAACACCAAATCTATATTTACATCCACATATAATAACATAACTTTAAGCTGAAATATATCATAAATAAAACATGTCTACTGTCTGACAACTTAAGTATCAACAATTACAATAAATCAAACTGGAATGAAATAAATACATTAACAAAAATCCAACGAATTGTACCTCTATCACATGTACTGTTGTCTCAGAGGAAAAAGACACACAAAGCCAGTAGTATCCCAATAGTTAATACTGATGGACAAAAACACATTGTGAAGTACAAAGGGCTGTAAAAAAAGCTGGAATTTTTATGCATTCAAAAACGCAGTCTGAGAGATCTGAAAGCCCCCAAAATTTCAGCAAAGCACACACTGACTTGTTTTCAAATAGATTTGGTGATTTTTTTTTTAAATACAGTTTTAATTTTCAGCTCCCCATTGTCATAAACCCCCGTAAGATTTACATTTATAGTCTCAGCAAGTTTCTGTAACACTCGCTGGATTTAGGCAAACATCGAGTCAATCATCTTGCAAATGTGTTAATCTTCAAAAATAGACTATAAAAGTGCAAAACTATGAAAACAGAGTCTAGGTTATGTACATATGGCTCAGCTTGGGACAGGAACCAGGCCCTGGTACACCTTCCTGATACAGAGCACTTTGTTGCCACACCAGCAGACCCACCTCAACCCAGGTCTCCTGGAACATGGGAGTTAAACATCTCCCAAGGATCCCTCCTGTTGCATAACGTAAAGATTTTTTTGGAAAAAAAAAAAAAAAATTTTTTGAGCTCTTCGCCTTTGTTCTACTGGGGTGAGGCAAGAAAAAAAGAGCAGTGCAAATTTTGAAACAGTTTCTTAATAAGCTCCTGTTGCATAACGTAAAGATTTTTTTGGAAAAAAAAAAAAAAATTCTTTGAGCTCTTCGCCTTTGTTCTACTGGGGTGAGGCAAGAAAAAAAGAGCAGTGCAAATTTTGAAACAGTTTCTTAATAAAAGATTTTGGGTTTGCTAAACCCATGAACTGCTGAATAAGCTCAGGCATCAAAGGAACAAGCTTAAAACACCTCATGAACCAGCTGCTGGCTGTCCTCCCTAAAACCGCATCTGTGTCTGCATTGAGGAAAACCACCAAAAATCAGGAGACAACTGAGGTGCGCAGCTTTTCTCCTCCCGCCTCTGGGAGGCTCGGCAGCAGTCCCTCATTCAGACTCAAGGTGTCCACAATTAACTTGGGTTATGTCCACACTTCAAAAAGCAGACACACCAAGACTCCAAATACAAACTTAAAATTTCCCAAACCTTCCATTCCCTCTTTAAAATTGCTTTCCAGGTATGTAATTCACACGTGTAAATTCACCACACTTAAAAAGACCTAACTTAAGCAACACCCCAAGAAACTGAATTTTCCAACAGAGATGATGAATGGTATGGAAAACAGCCCAGGAGCGCCCCATGCAGCCTGGCTGTCTACCTGACATCAGCTGTCCTACCGAGGAAAGGCTTCTCTGTGGGCACACTTGCTCAAAAGCGCTGCCCAGCATCCCCAGGGAAGGATGGGGCAGGGGGTAATTCCAGGACAATCTGGACACACCAGGAAGATGACCCAGCCTTCCTTGTTGACACACTGGTAACAGCTGCACTAAAGGTACCAGGCGTGGGTGGCTGACCTCAGATCTGCAGCACATCTTCCCAGAGCATCAAAACTACCGTTAACAGACTGCGGAGGATTCAACATAATATTCATCAGTGAGAATTTGCTTTAAAACCTACGTTTTAAATGAAAGAGCACAAAGAAGCAGAAACTGCTCAAAGCATTGAGCTGTTAGGGAGAGAAATACACACAGTATTCGAACAAGCAGGTATTTACAGACGGTTACCTGAGGTGCAAGCGTTACATTCTTTCCCCACCCGCCCCAAATGATTTATTTTCAGCAGCGCTCAGTATGCAAGAACTTATTTGGTCAATTCTTTAAAAAAAAAAAAAAAGTTCAGGGACAAAATAGAGATTTGCAGTCCCTATCTGTGTACAGCCAACTGTTCCAACTAGTTTTTATTGCTATTTGGTACAAAAGTTAACAGAACAACTTTACAGAATTTAGTGTTCCTTTCTATGCTCCTCACACGCTCTATGTACAGTCACAGCTTATGTCAGTAGCTTTCACTTTTTCATTTTTTCAAAAGATCAACTAAAGTTCAATTCCATGGACAGTACGCACCGCATCCAGTGAGGACCTGAGGAAGAAAAGTTTTAAAGAGGTTAGGATAAATGTGACCATTTTAAAGTACAACACATGAAAATAAGCTGGAGAGATGGCTCAGCAGTTCCAAGTGCTTGCTGCTCTTTCAGAGGACCCAAGCACCCGAATAAGACGACTTACACAACCTGTTAACTCCAGCTCCAAGGGACCTGACACCTCCTTGTGACCTCCCCAGACACACCCACACATATGGCATTGACTCTCAAACATACATATCAATAAAGTCGTTTTTAAAAAATACATGAGCTGGGCAGACTTTAATGCCAGCACTCAGGAGGCAGAGGCAGGCAGCTCTCTGAGTTTGAGACTAGCCTGGTCTACACAGTGAGTTCCAAGGCCACCCTGGGCTGCACATGCACATAAATAAACAGAACCAGTGGGCCCTAGAAATGCAATGGTTCCATTTAAGCTCAAAATCTGCAATACAAGTACCAGGAGACTAAAAGCAGGTGATCCCACTACCTAGGAGAGCAAGTAACTTACACCAAAAGCCAGAATCATTCTCTCTCCCAGCCCCACATGCCACCAACCCTAAAGGTTTCCAGAGGTGATGGCTTACTCCTGTAATCCCAGCACTCAGGAGACTGAGGCAAGAAACTGCCAAGTTTAAGGCTAGTATAGGCTACATAACAAAAGCCTCTTTCCCCATTATGTGCCCCACCCAAAAAAACAGGAAAGCAGAACAACCAGGCATATAGCTCAGTGGTAGCAAGTACACCTGCCTCATAAGGGAAGGCACTTGGTTGTATCCCCAGCACAGGGAAAAGGAAAGAGACTGAAATTTTATATACTAAGGTAAGAACATGGAATGGACCAGGAGTACTTAACAAATGTGATCTCAGAATAACCTTCTTCCATGAAAAGGGAGGTATTTGTTTGTTCACCTAATGGCACTGAGCCATTCCCTGGAGCTCAGCTAGCTTCTCATCTCCATATCCCAGGGTCTAGCTCTGGGTACATACAGAAAGGTTTTGTGAAATAACAATCATGTGAGAGATATCTACCTCTATCCAGGAGTCCCATACAGTCATTCATTTGCAGGGCTCACAGGCAGAACCTTGGCAAAGCCAAGAACCTGGCCTGGCTGCTGCCCAGACTATGACTAATGTAAAATGAAACATCCAGGGCTGACAGCAGCTCCCTGAGCAACACTAGTTACTTCAACATAAGCCTTAAGTCAAATACCTCTGCTTACTCCTGTCCCCAATTCCCTTCTCAAGACACGTAAAGATTCAAAAAGGCTTTGAATAAACTCTTCAACTCAAAGGCTGGGCACAGGTTTGAATCTGCACAGACCTAGGACAAAGGCAAGACAGAAGAAGGATCTGGGAGGTCACACAAGGCAAGCCTCAGTCTCTTTATACTGGTCTGGAGTGTGTACGTCTTAGCCCTGGGTCAGAAAAGGGGTCTATTTCCAGTTCTGCAGGCCGTGGGCTAAGCCTTGGTCGCTGGGTTACAAGCTAAATTCTGCTGTTTTAGCAGGGAAGCAGCCACGGATAGAAAGTTAACAAATGGGTGTGGCTGAACCCCAATCAAACTTCAGTTACAAAAGCCACCAGTTGGGAGGGCTGGCTTGCTGAACCCCCGGACTTAATGTCCCTAGCTGTAACAATGACCAAGGAGCATGTCATCAGATGCCTACACAACGTAAAGATGCTCAATGAAATTCAGGGCCATCATGATTGTTTACTATCACCACTAACCACTACCATTTGAGGACCCCAAGATTCTAAATTTTAAAACTTTTGAAAAAAAATGGGGACCAGTAAGATGGCCACAGCAGGTGAAAGCCCTTGCTGCCAAGACTGACAGCCAGAGTTCAATCCTCAGGATCTACAAGGTGGAAAGACTCTTCAATGCTGTCATCTGATTCCCAAGTGCCCACTCAACACAGAAATCAGTAAGTAAATGCAATTTTAAATAAACAATTAGGAGGGGGTCTTTTTTTGAGACAGGGTCTCCCTGTAGCCCCAACTGGCCTGGAACTCACTATGTAGACCAGGCTGGCTTTGAACTCACAGAGATCCACCTTCTGAGTGCCTCTGCCTCCCGAGTGCTGGGATTACAGGCGTGCGCCACCACATCCGGCTCAAAAAAAAAACAATTTTAAAAAGAAAATTAAAATGTGATTTATTACTGGACAAGCTCAAGGGTTTCTTTTCAATTAAGCAAAACCAACACAATATAATTAATTAAAACAAGCTCACCTTTTTTTTCAAACTAGGAAATCAAGTTTTTTTATCATTTGGTCGATAATGTGCATCTCCAATTAAATTCTCATAGTCTCTCTTTTGCAGCACGCTGTTGGGTAAGTGTCGGTGTGATACAGGCCTCTTTCCTAAATGAAAAGCAAGGTAAAAGGTCACTTCCCGCAATTGGGTAACATTGTCCAAGCTGTAGAGTCAGCTTGGAAATTCCCAACACTGTCTCTGTCATCTCTAGAAAGCAGCACAGTCAGTGACGACTGTAACTCAGTCAAGTATTTTTAAGACAATGCAAACCAACACAGAATTTTAGGTGACTAAAAATTAGCTAGCTTCTGGGTTGTTATAACTAACAATTTTAAAAACTGTAAGAAAATGGCAACATAGCCAGGCGTGGTGCTTTAATCCCAGCACTCAGGAGACAGAGGCAGGCTGATCTCTGTGAGTTCAAGGCCAGCCTGGTCTACATACCAAGTTCCAGGACAGCTGGGGCTATAGTCTCAAAAAGACCAAAAAAGAAAAAGGCAATATAAAATACTTGAAATGAGGGCCAACAAGATGGCTCAGGGTTGAAGATATATTTGTTTTAAGTCTCTGTCTCCACTGGTTCTCCTGGGCAGCACTGCCCACATGATGCAGCAGTCTGAAACCACCTGAAAAGGTGAAAGGGAGTCTGTCTCTCTGGAGCAGCGCAAACCCACAAGGCTTCTATAAATAAAAAGGAAAGTGCTGTAGCTTAATCAAGTATACAAGAGGGACGGATGCCTGTGACACTTAGGCTACCATCCTCCAAGCACAAGTCAGCACTAGATGCCGCCACAAAACAATGGAAAAGGAACCATTTCCCTGAGGAAACCCCAAAGTCATCCCCTAGATGACCACTCCACTACAAGAACAACAGTCCCTTACTAACAAACCCAACAGCACAATTCTCGAGGCCTAATGTCAGAGCTGCTCCACTGCCCCTTCCAACAAGGTGGAGGGCCTCACTACTACCCAAGGCCCTGTGTGGAGAAGCAGAGCTTGGAATCAGTCTCCTGAGACGTTTACAGTCCATCACAGATGGCCAGACACCTAAGAACCAAGAATCCCATAGAGGGCGTAGATGGTGTGTTGGGAGTGTATACATGTACAAAGGAGAAAGGGCTGTGACAAAAGGTCTAAGCAGGGCCTCAGTAGTATCCCCCCAAAAAGAATTCTTTTTGAATGTCTACACAGCCTAGGCTAGCCTCAAACTCACTTCAGTCCTCCTGCCTCAGCCTGGCAAGTGCTAGAATGACAGGTGTGCACTACCATGCCAAGCTGGTACCTGAATTTCAACAGCAAGGGAAATTGCTCCTAGACCAGGGGCCACCAGTCAGGCTTTTTTTTTTTTTTTAATCATTCCCACAAAAGCTTACACCTAAGACTTAATCCTAGAGAGTTAAACTTTGAAGGACTCCAATTCATTACCACATATAAGATCTAGACAGTGCAATGTCTGCCTGCACCCCAAGGTCCTATGGGACCTCACTCCAGTACCTTCAAGTGCTGGGCTGGCTGCTGGGTGTCCTGCCGGTCCACAGGTGTATAGAGGTCCTGAGGTGCTGTAGGGCTTCTGCACGGTCAACACACTGGGTGACTCCACCTCCGCAGGGCTTAGGAACCTGGCTTTGGGGGGCAGTGCAGGTGGTGGGCACACACACTCTGGTAAGAGTGAGGTGATGCTCCTGACCATGTGGTACCTGGGGAGCTCGAAGCCCCTTCTGCTGTTGGACCCAGCATGCTGCTCTGTGTCTAGGGTCATCACGCTGGGTTTGAGTCTTTTGGGAAGTGGCTCAGTGAACTCAGCTGTGGTACTATTCACACTCCGATGGCAGAAATAGTCTCTCCCTTGTGATGGCCATGAGCCATCGCCCTTCAGGGGGTACTCGACGGAACCGTTGCTGTTACTGCTGCTGAGGGGGGACTGGGAAGGGGCAGCTGTCAGGGGCTTCAGCTTCTGCTCTGGTCGCTTCACCTTATCCACAGCAGCAGAGATGCTGCCTTTGGGGAACAGCTCCGACTGCTGCTGCCTGGTGGCCCCAGGGCCCCCTGCACTGGACTGTGGCCTGTATGACTTCAGGTTACTGGGGGCTAAAGTGCTGGAGTCGGGCCCTGAAGTCTGAGGGGCTTTGCCTGGCCCTGAAGGGCCCTGTCGTACCTTCTCTGATGCCAGGGACTTGGGTGCTGGGAAGGAGGCCTTGGCCTTGGGCTTCTGCAGACCGGCCAAGGGTGGCACATCCTTCCCAAGCAGGGCAGGAGGGCAGCCAGTGCGTCGATTCCTCAGCACGGACTTGCTCCTGCAGTTCTTCAGCGAGTCGGGGTTGTACTTGTGCTCCAGTCTCTGGTGCATCATCAGAACTTCCGGGTAAAAGGTCTTGAAGGTACAAAAGGGACAGGTGATGGTGGGGATGAGACTCTTGCTCAGAGAGATGGCAGGACAAGCCTGAAGAGCCCCAAGGGACAGATTCAAAGGTCTGTCCTGGCAGTCGGCGGTGCTGGGCTTGTATTTGCAGTCCTCTGTCTCCATGGTATCTCCTTCTGATTTACAGGCAGGGCTGCGGGCCTGAGGCTCACCTGCTGGCCTCATTTTCAACAAGTCCAGATAAGCAGGGGCAGGACTCTTCCTCACTTTCTGGCCATCGTCGTTTGCATTTTTATATAAATCCTGAGTTTCATTATGTGCTGGTGAGAGGACAGCACCGCCCAGAACACTCTGGAAGACAGAGGGCGTCTCCTTAGGCTGCTTGGCAGGGGGGCTGCCTTTGACATCTTTGGCACCATCAAAAAACCTTTTTAAATTTTTGGTCTGCACACTGTCAGTTAGCAGAGCATCTTCCATCTCCTGGTTTTTACCTTCACTCTTGACTTCGGCAGCAGCGTCAGCTGGATGCTTGTCTTTGTGGTGTCTCTCCAAGTGATACCTCAGAGATGTCTTCTGGGCTGCCGCATAGTCACAGAAGTCACACTTGTACGGTTTTTCACCTAGAAGAGAAATCCACTGTATTACGTAGTTTAGGAAGGCATCAAAACAGAGTCCTGGAAACTAGACAATCTATGACAGAAAGACAAGTTCCTGCCTTTTTGTCGTTTTACCTTTTTTCTTTTTTGGTTTTGGTTTGGTTTTTTTTAGTTTTTTGGGTCTCCCTGGAGCCCCAGCTTGCCTGGAACTTGTTAGGTAGACAAGGCTGGCCTTGAACTCACCAGATCTGCCTCTGCCTCATCTTGGATTAAAGGCCTGTGCCACCTCACCCAGCTCCTTATTTGCCAATCTTTAATTATTATACTGAAAAATTTTAAATGTAAATGGGTGTTTGTGGCATCCCCTTTAAATGATTTACTCTGCATTACAACCCCATGGAAGTGAGTTACTGTCACACTTTTTCAGATAAGGAAGTAGGAGCACTAAAAGGCTGAATGAACAGTGTACACAAGCCACAAGGAAAACCTCAGCCTCCCAATCCACTGCCATCCAAATGCTACCAAATACACACCCACTTCGCTAGAAATAATTTTGAAATGTTAAAGCATGAGACGTTTAAAAATCTTATAGGTCTAAATTAAGAAGAGAGCTGGATACAGCAGTCACAAACCAACCTCAAAGCAGGGAACAACCACTCAAGCTGCAGCGACACTGAGAATGTGGTACAACCGCAGTGATCGCTCAACACTTCAGAACAGACAAGCACAGGATTCTCTTAATATACGCTTTAAAAAATGAAGTCCTTTACCTGTATGAGTTCTGAGATGAATATTGAGGTAGTAATTGGAACGGAAAAACTTCCCACAGTAACTACACTCTCTCGAGGACGTTAGATGCTTTACCTTTCCTCCGTCATCATTTTTATCTTAAAGCAGAAACAAAAGTATTTGTGTAAGATAGATGAGCACGTGATTCAGGCATGCTGACATGAATATTCTTGACATACATTTTAGGAAACCATTTATTTTAGTTCTGGGGTAGAAGTTTCAAGGGCTCAAATAACTGTGTGCTTTTTGTTTTTCTGGCTAGGGAACAGTGGCCTAGCAGATACAGGGTCTTCACCTCAGTCAGAAGAATGACCGTGATGAATGGCAGGCAGGAGGCTTTCTGTCCACACCATGGGACGTGTGGGCACCTGACTCATACAGAATGGGGATGTGCGCACTCACAAAGAAACCACCCTGTTAAGCACCAATCACTTTAATCACAGCCAATATAACGGTCAACTCTCCCAACCGCTGGGGGGGGGGCAGGGGCAGTATCTTGAGATAAAGTACATTACCACTAGAGGGAGCCAAGCACAACCTAATCTTCAACAGTGACTGCTGGGCAAAGAAAGCACCGAGGCAGTTGATCAAAATTCAGCAGCTATGGTTGGTTTCCACCCAATCTCAGGGACAAAGCAGATCTGAGCATTCAGATCTATCCCCAAAGGCAAGGTGCCGATTCTGCACTTCAGCCTGCACCAGCAATTCACTGGTAAGGCCTTGCACTCACTACCCTCCGGTCAACTGTTAAAATCCTCCCCTAGACCAGTCTTCTGGGTCTAGCAGGTACCCCACCACACATCACATAACATACAATGTGTGAAGGCCATCACTCAAATCTGATCATCTCTTGAGGTTCAGTGACACCAGGGCCAGGGTACAGTGCAGTGGTAATCACCCATGCACAGGTTCTGACTGGGTTCCAGGAGGGGCGATTCAACTGGTCAGTTTGCCTTACAAAAACTTACTTGAAATTACAAGTCTCTTTTGCTCTACCACTTATTTGCAAAGGCATCGGATGGAAGAGCCTGGAATACCTGCAGGTGTCATGAAGACGGACCTATGCCACCTTCATTAACACTGAAGAAGGGGGATTCACTACAAGACAGAGACAACCCTTGATCTAAAAAGGTACCAGGAAGACTCTGAAAACTAATCACTGACTGCTTTTCGACCTTCTTAAAAGTCACCCTGACGAAGGTTGATGGTTCAAGTGTGATAATTTGGACTAGGAAAACACAATGACAGTTTCCTAGATAGAGACCCCAGCCCCTTCTGCTCCCCACTCAGTAGCTACATTTACAGCTGGGCTGTTGCATCATATCCAAAAGGCTAGGAAATGCCTTCACTGTCAAATATAAGACGTGACTCCACACCTGGCGCCTGCCTTCTAGCTCCCATTTGATTTTACAATGCTGTTTTCTACAGGAGAGCAACTTTTTACATGAAAAAAAAGTGAGTGCTTTACCCCAGGATCCTGTTCAACAATCATGAGCAGGACCTGTCCAACAGCCTGTCTCTATCCACACCACTGGACAACTGACAAATTCATGGGCAGGCTTCAAGTGGCCACACGTCCTTGGATTTCCCAGCAGATCATGCCCATTACTGCAGTCCTTCCTTACTAACAGGTACTGCCCTTCCAAACACCAGGGAGATCAGGATGCACCAAGATTCCCCAAGTAGAACTAGCTGGCTCTGGTTAGAAATTCCATGCCCCACCCCCTGCCCCCCAAGACTACTGGACCATTCTGCAAGGCCATTCTGTGATACAAGACAACCTGTGCCTGAGGAGTCCAGCAACATCCTTGGTCTCTACACAGCGGATGGCAGCATGTGCATGCGCAAAAATGCACACTTAAAACACACACAACTGAGACAATGCAAAATGTCTCCAGACATTATCAGATGTCAACTAGAGACAAAAATTCACTGCTGGAAAGCACCTGCTGGAAAAGAAGCCTGGACAGGCCTTTTAACTCAATTTACTACATGAGAGGTTAAGTGACCATACAGCATGATAGCACAAGGGGCTAGAACTCAACTCTGACTCCCAGTACCTCTCTGCCAGGGTTGACTGGGGTTGCAGCAGCATACTTACCCAAATGGAGCCCTTCAGGGAGCCCATCCTCAGACCCATCTTCAGAACCCACTTCTCGCTCCACGGCTGCACCGTCATCCACTGTAGTGGCAGGGTCTGGGGAGCAGGTCCCAGGCTGCCGCCCATCCACAGACATGGTGGGCGACGGGGCATCGGCCCTCCTGTCCTTCTTGTGCACCCTCGAGTGCAGGACCAGTTGGTGGTAGGTTCTGAAGGCTTTGCCGCACTCATAGCAGTGGGTGGGCTTGCTGCTGGGCAACTTGGGATCTCCATCCCCAGAAGGCACTTCACCACCGGCGGGTCTGGGCTTGTCTTTGTCTTGTGAGAATCCCGGACAACTGCTTCTGTTTGTTTTGGTCTTTCCAGAACCTTCCGACTTACTCCCACTCCAAATCTCTCCAAGCTCCTCTTTCTCTGAGCACGAATCATCGTTGTCCGTGCTTCCTTCTTGGCCTGACTCTTTCACCTCCTCTTGGGGGATGGCAACCTTTCCTTTGGTAGCCAGCTGCCACGCCTGGTAGGTGGTGAATGGGTCGAGCTGAGGTATGCAGGTGACTGGTCTACTTGTGGTCTCTGCCTGAGATTTGGGTCTCAAGTTCAAAAACTGCAGCAGCTCTTCCCTCGGAGAGGCCATGCCCGCCGGCTGGGCATCTAGGGACGTGCTGCTGGCAACCAAGGTGGTTTCTTTGGTGTGCACTCTGCTGTGCTCAATCAGACTCTCCTTATTAGGGAAGAGGAAGCCACAGACCATGCAGATCTTGTAGGGAGAGGAGATGCTCTCGGCGATGTGTGCCTGGACCACCTCATTGATGGTGACGGGGCTCTCCAGGCCTTGCTGCAGCTTGCTCCTGGTGCCCGACTTGCCATTGTGTGTCCGCATGTGGTTCTTCAGGAACCACGGCTCCTTGAATCTCCTCCCGCACATGCTGCACCCATAGGTGAAGGAATCCTTGTGCTTCTTCATGTGGAGCTCGACATCAAAAGCCACTCTGAACGTCTGCCCGCACACCTCACAGCTGAATTCCTCGTTTTCTTGGCAGCTCTCCTGTGCTGGCTCTGCTCGCACCTGACTTTTATCAAGGGGACTGAGAAACTTGGCCTCCACCCGCAGGACGGCCGGCTCACAGAGGGTGGGCCGGTGCTGCATGAGCACATGCTGACTGAGGTCTTCCGCATGGGTAAAGGTCTGGTTGCAGAACATGCAGTCCAAGGGCATGTAGCCTTCCATGGGGATGATGTTCTTCTCCTGGGCGGCTCGGAAGGGAACAGCAGCTGGACCCTTGATAGACACGGCGTCGTCCACCTCCATCGGAGCGCCTAGAGAACCCCCGATGACTTCCGGCCCATCCATGTACACAAGGAGGGATTGAGTTGGCATGTTTCCTTTCACTTTAGGGTCCGATACAAAAGAAAATTCAAGTGTCTGCCAGGGAATTTCTGGAGTTGTAATAAGGCCACTTGTCAAGACTTGTCACTCAAATCACCAACAGCCCTGAGCTTCAAAATGTAGAGTAAATATTTGTCATAAAGTTCAAAAGGAAGTGTGTATCCCTCTAACTTATCCTCCAACGTTTGGGGAAAGCTCAGTGATAGAGAGGGTAGCTGGGTCTTTCCACTAACAGGCATCCAGGTTGCCCAGGGCCGTGATTCAAATGTGAATCAGCACAAAAGCGCTAGTTCTCTCTGTCTCCATTGGGCGAATGGCTCAGCTGAGCAAGAAGTCAATCCCAGGAACGTGAGGACAAGAGAGGTTCAAAATCTGGAAAGGAAAAAATAGACACGGTGAGCAAGGCTCTGAAGAGAGAAGGCTGGGCTCACAAGCCATGTGGTCAGTCTTTCCTATGCAAAGGCACCTGACTCAACTGCCTCACCCTTACCTAATCCATAATGCATCCTGGTAACATGTTTGCTAACTAAATTATTAGCATATTTCCCAACTGGCAGATTCAGTATATAAAAACAATTTCGTCTAATAAGGAAACTTTTAAAACAAATGTTGCTTTACTCCCTGAAATCTAAAAATTAATCAGGATGCAGCAGTGGCAAGCAAGCCTGTAATCCCAGAACTTGGGAGGCTGAGGAGGATCAGGAGTTAAGAGTCCAGCCTGGGATACAAAGTGAGTTCAAGACCGGTCTTCTCTACATAGAGGCAGTTTCTGGGCTGGAGAGATAGATGCTCAGCAGTTAAGAGCACTGGCTGCTCTTGCAGAGGACCCAGGTTTGAATCCCAGCACCCACATGGTAGCTAACAACCATCCTAACTTCAGTTCTAAGAAACCCAACATTTTCTTCTGACCTTGTTGGGCACTGCATGACACAGGTGTACTTACATACATGCAGGCAGTACAGTAATACATATAAAATATAAAGTATTTTTTTAAAAAGAAAGGCAGTTTCAAAAGTCATACAGTAGTAAGAGGTCAAGCTTCAGGGTCGAAATTGTTAATTCTACTAAAAAACATCCCAAATACCACCAAGAAGCACACCCGCTGGCTGGGTGTGGTGACATATCCTCCAGTGTCAGCACTAGGGAGGCAGAGGCAAGAGGATCTCTCTAAGTTCAAGGCTCACACAGACTGTCTCAAAACAAAGAAAGCAGCAGTCCACGTATCTCCTGCACACTGCCTCCAGATCTGAGACCGTTTGTAAAAGGTGTGAAAACGAGATGAAAAAATGGTTGCTCCAGGGAAATATACTAAAACTAAATGTACTCAGAATGGCTTTCTACTCTACACATAGGAAAACCATAAAGGCAGCAGGGCCGGGAGAGATGGCCCTGCTCCTCCAGAGGACTTGGATTTGTTCCCCAGCACCCACATGGCAGCTTAAAATGACCTGTAACTCCAGCTCCAGGGGATCCAGTGCCCTCTTCTGATCTCTGCGGATACCAGAGACAAACATGGTACACATGCAGGGAAACACTCATACACATAAAATAAAAACAAATCGTGAAACGAGGAGGCAAGGTAGGGAGGAAGGTAAAAGTAAAGAGTGGGTGGGGCCAGCCAAGTCCACATAGCAAGTTACGGGCCAGCTGGGGCTACAAGGAGACCATAACTCAAAAAACGAAATAGAAAAAAAGAAATGAAATGTAAAGGCTCAAGTCTCAAAGATTACTCAGAGGTCTAAACATCAGCACAGGAAACTGGAACCTTCCCTCAAGTCCTCATCCAAAAATACAGAACACCTTGGAAAGGCCACTCATCTTGGCCCAGAACACTGATGTACTCTGGATCACTGGACACTGCAAACCTCGCCACTGTCCAAACTCGTTTGCTTTCCACAACTTTCTGACTCCTACAGCACAGGGAGGATCCCTGAGATCAAAGAACAGGGAGCTGCATAGTCACTAACTTGGAGTGCCAACTCCTAAAAAGCCCTCCAGAGCGGGCTCCATGTGGCTTACTCTTCATCAGAAAATACATCCTCCCATCTTTTTAATCCACCTTTCACATTATGCATTGGCTAGGTAGAAAAGGGATTACTTTATTTAGCTCTCTCTGTGGGCTCTGATTTGAAGGCTGATTTCCACTGTTGCAGAAGAATTAACCCCTAAAGTCAAGATCTGTCATGGCACAGAGGACTTGTTCCTTAAATAGTCCTGGCTACTTTAAAAAGTCAGTTAATTCACCCAAGAAAACAAAAGGTATGTAAACTGCTCCAGACTAGTCCGGGTCTTCCTCTCCTCTCCCTAAGAGAGCAGGGCTTGCAGCAGGTTCACCAGAATCACTCATTCCCTTCTGGACACAGGAAAACTCCTCCCCTAGAGCTCTGACATCGCACGATGTTCTACCTAAAGTTCCAGACCTAAGACTGAGGTAGAGAAATAAGGGTGCAGAGCTCTAGCTTCATCTCTGGCTTGTCTTTGTTGCAATCACAATGGAGGACAGGCACAAGGGCTGGTGACCACCCTGTGACATAACAGAATCCTCCAGAGACCTGAGCTCTAGTCTGTCATGACCTTCAAGATGTCACTGCCACAGGACTAACAACCTATGGTCCACTTACTGTGTGGACACAGCATTGCTCACAACCCTGCCTGTGGCTGAGAACAACCCCCCCCCAAAGCATCCCGTGACTATGTGGATTCCGGATGCATGATTTAGGTTACAGTGTAGTGACTGATTCAGTCAACAAGTGTTTACCAGATATCAATGGCTGGGCAGCATTTTCACTAGAGAATGGGGCACATATGCTAGAAAGGCAGTGACCACACCCTGACAACACTGCTTAATAGGGAACAGCTAAATTATCTCTGCACAAAACCAGAGGGAATTAATGGCACTTTGAATAAAGAGGTCCTTTCCACTTTCCTGTGCTAAGATGGCACTGAAGGGGCTAAAGAGATGACTCAGTGGTTAAGAGCACCAGCTGCTCTTGCAGAGGACCTGGTTTGTTCCCAGCAACCACGTGGCAGCTAACAACCTTCTGCAACTCTGTTCCAGGGGATCCAGTGCCATCTTCTGGCAGGCACTGCATAACACAGGTGCACTTACTTGCAGGCAAAACACTCAAACATAAATAAAAAAAAAAATGTTAACGCCATAGACGCAGACCAGACATGATGGCACAAGCCTTTAGTATCGGCACTCAGGAGGCAGTCAGATGGATCTCTCTCAGTTCCAGGCCAGTCCAAGCTATATAGTGAGATCTGTTTCAAAGGCATAGAGGAAAATTGTGAATTCCAAGCCAGCCTGGACTACAGTATAAAACCCGAGCTCAAAACAATAAACAAACATGGTTAACTAGGAATATGCAGGGGACAGGAAAGTATAGCTAAACTGGTGATCTTAAAACTATGGAGGAACCCCACTTTCTTCTCATCAGTCTTTCCAAGAGAATACCATTCTTCTACTCAACCCTTGGATTCCAACTTTGAGGGATTGACCCCAATTTCTCATCAGAGAACGGTTTAGCACAACAGATACTGGAAGCAGGGATCTTCAACAGCCTGAGACCCTTCACTCACTGACCTGTCGTCAGCGTATTCTATTCTAGTCTGTGCTACCATTTTGCTTTGAAAACAGAAGTTTTTAATATTTTTTATTTTATGTGTATGACTGTTAACACTGCATATATGTAAGTGCACCCACATCAATGCAATTCTGTGGAAACAAAAAGAGGGTGTCAGATCGCCTGGAACTGTAGTTATAGATGGTTGTTAGGGGCCATATGGGTTCTGGGAATCGAACCCAGGTCGTCTGCAAGAGCAGGCAGTGCTCTTAACCACTGAGCCATCTCTCCAGCCCTGAATATTCTTGCTACTTGGAAAAAAAAAAATTGTTGGTTCCAATTTTTATCTCTAAACTCTCCCACTTCCAGGGCTGAAGGCTGCCATCATTCTGAAATCCCTCCTAGGATGTTGCCTGTGAAGGATGACAGAAGAGGCACAAGGGGAAACATGTGGCAGGGGAGAACTTCCGCCTTCCTCATCTGGGTGAAGGCAGGGAGAGGGCAAGGTGTCCCAAGTCACGCGGTCCTCCTGGGCAGTCAGATGGAAGAGAACTCCCTCCCGCCGCCAGGAAAGCTGAAAGCACCTCTTCCTCCAAGAAAGCTTCCAGGGAAGATTTTGATGGCCACAACTATGCCCAGCTGACCTAGCACTGGATGACTGCAAATCAGAGTGAGGAAGAACTCAGCTGCAAGGCTGCCCACCCTCTCCTCCAGTCACTGCTCTCCCAACTCCTGCCCATCACTTTCTGCCACAGTTCAGCTTGACTCACTCCCAAGACTTTAGTCAACATCTAAAATCATTTTGTGAGAAAATATTTTTTTTTTTAAAGAAAGACGGGGGGTAGTGAGACTGGGGGGTGGGGACGGGAAAGGAGGTCTAAATATATTCCAAAATTCATTGTATGAAATCCTTGAATCAAAATCTCTTAAACTCAAAAAAAGACAAAACAAAATTTAAATTATCTCATTGGCTGGAAATTCTTTCTCTACTATCATTTTAAAGATTAAAAAGTTTTTAAGAGACAAAAAACACAAAAAAAATAAACTTCTAAGATCTTAAGGACAGAGACCTAGCTTGCTGGTTCACTGTCGTCTCTGGGGCCTGCACCAGGTGAGGCCCAGACACCTGGTGAACGTAGGATTCCACAGGCAGAACAGAACATAGATCTGGGGCTCTGGTCCCCAGCATACCTGATCTAATGTTGACATGGAACTGACAATCAGTGGCCACTCCACAATAACCATTCTCTGCCGCCAAGACTGTACTAAAAAGAAAGGGAGGGGATCATATATAATCACACCATAGAGCTGACCAGAACTAAACAGAACCACTGTCCAGGCTAGGATCGCTCAGCTGTAGAGCACTGGTCTAGCATGTGTGGGGCACGGGATTCTAACCCCAGCACTGAAAAACAAAAAACAAAACTTGAATTTCTGACCTCTCTTGTGACCTACCAAGATCTGATAGCAAATTGCCATTCTTCACTTAGGAGCCACACAAGTCTGGTCAACTCTAAAGGGCAGAACACTTCAAGCCAGGTCTACATCAATTAAAAGCAACTGGCTAACAAAACCTTCACAGAACCTCAGTAACAGTATCAGAACCCATCAGATAGCCACCATCCTCAATGGTCCCTTCCCCTGATGAAGTGCGCACACACACAGCTTTCCCAAAATCCTCCATTTTTCCCAGATCCTTCCATCTCAAGCATAGAATCCAACAGGAATCCCACGGCACTGCTTTTTAAATTTTTTTTTTTTTTTTTTTTTTTTACTTTATGTGTATGAGTGCTTTCCTCTAAGTAC